GTGCTTCAATCGTGTGGAAAGAAGCTCTTGGAGGTCAGTCCTGCCATTCCTGGTATGCTCTGGTCAATTAGTGGAACTTACAGCGTAGGTCGGGTAGTATATAATCATTATTACTAATTTGCAAATGTGTTGGCTGGTTGACAGCGTCCAAGCTTTGGTAGACTAGAACTACAGTGGCTCTGACTCATATATTATACTCATATAAGGTAAAATCCCGCTCTCTCGACATGGTCGCTTGAGTGCGTAAATGTTCAAGCTAAAGAAGTTGAAGGACAAATTGGGTGTGGGCTTTTGATAGAGGCTCTGAAGGCTCAGCATGATGATGAATGGTCGCCTGACAAAGTCCCTGGTGACTGCAGGGGCTTTGACATAGTGGCGGGAAGTGCAAAGTCAATTGATTCTGAGGCTCTGCACTGTAAGAGGGTGCGTGTGAATGGATAGAGTCGGATAGAGCAGACAGCTGCAGACTGGCGACAAAGTCATTACCTTAGCTTGGTAGTGACTCAACACCACAATGTAAAGGAGTCAGAGCCACTCGTAGATAATAAATACTAGATAAACAAAGCACATTAACATATTCAGATTGCGGTATTGTATTGTTGTGTGTGGGGGAGTGTGCGGTACCCTCGTTGTCATGATTGTGATGGTTTTGAAATTGTGGGGAATTGATCTGCTGCGTGCGGCCGTGGTGCGGCAGGATTCCACAGATTATGCCAATTCGATGTCTACCTTTTTCCGCTTCCTCTCCTTGGACACTAAATGCACTGGTTTGTCTTTGCGTGCGGTGTCAGAGTGTGGGGACAGCGCTCTCGACATCCCAGGATTCATCAAGATTCAGATCAACCTGTTCAACGCTTGGGTGGACAGAGTGAAGAACCTCTCAGACGACCATGTAGACAAATGCCTCCTGGCCATCCCCAGTCATTTGTGGGATGCCCAATCGACAAGGCCAGGTTTCCAACATATTTTCAAACAACTTAGTGAGTAGAATCCAGGATCGATCAGGCTGACTAGACAATTTGGGTCTTCTGTTTCAGGAGCTGGTCAGAAGACCCTTCGGTGAGCTGTCTGGTACCTGGCACTGGGATGTGCCCAAGATTGCTGCTGGACTTGCACAGGTTCTTGGCAGCCAAGCAGCTCATTGATGAGAATGCCACCAACAGGCTATCCGGTGCCGAGATTACCGACTTGAAGTTGATTGTTGCCTCTTCTGCCAAGGTTTCTGCACGAATTACTCTGGTATTCAAAGCCGGAAGGCTCAGGACTGCTACAGTGGAAAGTTCCGCAGCCGGGACGTATTTTGTATTTTGTTGATCTTTATTTTTTGTTGTGGAGATTGAGCTTCAGTTGTTGCCAACGAGTGGGTCAGGACTTTGTGGATGCGGGTACTTCAGGCGACCAAGAGGGTGATGGACGAGCAAGTCGCTTTTGGAAAGGTGCAAGGTTGCTGTGAGAACATTACCATACTCATCTCTGCCTTGAAGTCCTTCAGTAGCACAGAAGACAACGGGGACACCAAAGCCAAGGAAGACATTTGCCAGCAAGCGAGAAACAACTTGCAATGCTTGGATATCCAGGCCGCTTGCAAAGAGTCTGCCAATGAGGATGGCAAACAGGAGTCGCAAGCACTTGGCGAGCAGGTGACACAACTTCAGGAGGTCATGGACCAGGAGTTCTTTCACACTACAAGCTTTGGTGACCTCCTTGCGAACTTGTGGGCGGAGGGGGCAACACTACAGATGGACACAGAAGGCTACGAGTTCCAGGTGCTCCCATTGCTCCTCACTCTGTCGATCCAAGGTGCCATGCAAATTTTAAAACACGCACTCACACACGCACAATATAGGCTAACTTCTGACATGTGTTATTTTTTTTGGGGGGGGGTTGGTGGATCATGTGATATACAGCCAGGCTGACTCATATTTAAGATTTGTCACGTTCAACTTTCAAGAGTTTTTGTTGACACTGTCAGGTGCAGTTCGTCGACTCGTTCTCCGTGAGGAAGAAGTCACAAACTCCATCCTGGTCGAGGTGGCAGATGCGTTTTACGACTTTTGCAAGAACTTTCCAGACGGCCAACACGTTGCAGAAGACCATCTTAAATGTGCCTTTGTACTTCAGACTCAGTTGAGCTCACTTGTGGGAAAGTGCCAATTCGTAGACACTCCACCAGAATGGATGGGCAGGTTCAAAGATGCCGCTGACAGATTTGCCAGCAAGTTGTCTGTTGTCACCACAGAATGGGTGAAGAGTCTTCTGCGCAGTGGCAAATTGTCCACTGTCAAGGAATTCTTCAACAGCTGCGACCTACCAGGCAGCCCAGGCACCTTAACCAAACTTGCGGCGATCATCGAGCACTACGAGTTCTTGCTCAGTCTGGAGCCACCAGAGCCAACTGACTTGTTCAGTGAACTTGGCACTCGGATGAAGAGCTTCATCACAATTTCTTCCCTTGATGAAGCCATCTTGTCGGACTTGGTGCCAGACATCCATCAGAAGGCAAACAACTACAAGGAGTCTGTGCAAACCAATGTCATGCAGGAGGTGGAGAAAATGCGTGGTCAGCTGACCAAAAGCATTACGAGAATGGAGACATACAGGCTGGGTTGTTTCTGTCCTTTTTACTTGCAGCATCATGCAACACCAGCCACGTGTCAAGAGTCAAGAATTTGTTAGATCATGGCCGGGCCTCTTTCATTTTTTCCACAACGGAGATGTCACAGGAAGATCTTGCCAGCAGTGAAGATTTGGCAGCTCGACAACATCCAGGACCTCCTGATAGAGACAGAAGCCATGAACAAGGACGTGGAATCCTTGATCAGATTTGTCGAGAATTGCGACGGCTATGACTCATGGACTCGCGTGTCATTGGCCCTAATGAAGGGGTCTTTCTGGAAAGATCATCATGTGTTCCAAGCATTCTCAGCTGTGAGGAAGGAGCTGGAGGCCAAGCTGAGGGAATGGCTCTACCCCAGATTCCTTTGTTGCAGTTGGTTGTTTTTGGGGGTTGGGTGAACTCCTGTTTGTGCAGCCAGCAGGCCACCATTGGTTTACCATGTGATGTGTGGTTTACTCGTACTCCCTACACCCTCAGGTGGCCCGCAAGGACGCTTCACAGATTGTGGCATGCCTCAGCCTTTTGCACATTATTGAGAACAAGGAAGGCCAGAAAGAACCCGTGGAAACCAGGCTGGCCTCAGTCCGAAAGTGCTGCGCTTTCATCAGCCAGAGGTTTGGTCTCAGCTTGGGAGATTTGCCCGGGCCAATGAAGCAAAAGGTTGATGCATTCTCACGCGTCCAAGAGCCAGATGCGCCCAAGAGGCAGCTTGCAAGAGTTCAGGGTTACTCTGTGTGGTAAGTGTGCATGACACTATGCTTTTGGCAAACTAGTTTACAGTTGACACAGGACTCTACCTCTACCTCTTTCTACCTCTACCATTTGAGGCTTTGAGGTTTACCACACCAGATGTGATCCTGCCAGCATGTTAGCCAAGGAAGGAAGGAACAGCAAAAGCAAAAGCCTCTGGTGAGCGGGCAGCACCAAAGAGAAAACCCAAGAAGACCGACTGAGTGAAACTGGCCTGGTGACTTTGGGGATGGCCTTTATGCCTTTTTTGGTGCATGGGCCTACTTTTGCAGAAGACGGTGATAACATCGTCTGTTGGGAGCCATTAGGGCATCCAGGCATGAAAGACTCGAAGACTTTCTCCCTAAGTCCTGGACAAAAAGGGCGAGTTTTGCAGCTGGCTGTTGTGCCATCAAAGGCAAATTCTTTGGCAACTGCAACCCGCTGGGAAATCAATTGCATATGGGCCTTTGGGGCTGTCTAGGATTTGCCTCAGATGGAAAGCCCTGGTGCACTTCAGGGCAAATAGCAGGGTGGTTTCATAGAAATGATCCAGCAGTAAAGGCAGTACATTATTTGGTGGGTGCATGGGCCTCTTTTATATATAGTTCAGAGGATTTTATATATAGTTCAGAGTATATCTTGGATCCCAACAGTTAAAGAGGCCCATGCACCCACCAATGCAATACTAATAAGATCTAATAAGTATAGTGATATCCGAAGGAATCTGAACTGTTGACAAATTGTGTGGTTCTTCCTTCTTTTTTCCACCAGGGCTTTGTCATGGGCTTGACCATATTTCTATATTGTAGTGTACAGCCAAGCCAATTAACTTGCTGAAACCTCCTCAGACATGGAAGCAGTTCCAGTTTAAAGCCTGTTCAACGATGCTTGCAAGTTGTGAATCTACATTAATCTATAGATGATGCACACACTCTGGCGCGTGTTCAAAGATCACCCTATTTTTTTAAAAGAAATATATACTGTATTGTTATGTTCTAAATTAAACTTGCATAAACTCATAAACTTACTTATTTATATAAGCTTGCCATGGAAATTCCATTGAGCTTCGCTTCCAATGCGAGTTTGGATTCTTGAATAGATACCCCCCAGTGTAAAATCATCAAAACGACTCCTTCACACGGTGGTTCTTCACCTGCTGTCATTCCAGTGGATCAGTCCTGTGGATCAGGCCGGAGGCTGTGAGACATTCCAAGCAGGTCACTTGAGAAAACCTCAGGTAACCACAGGCAAGCTTCATGGAAAGGATCAGCCTCGTGAGAGGTTCACTGTAGGATTGCAGTCCCGATTGAGGACTCCCCCAATATTAATCCAATAAAAATCAGACGGCTAGCTGGGTGGAGAAGCCGTGGTCTCTGCAGGCAGCACCGTGCTGTCTTGGTCACTTCGGTTCTTGCGACGAGCTTTGGCGTGACCACAACGCTGCGAAGATCCGAGAACAGCGAATCAACCCCCAAAGCATCTGTGAAACGACAAAGGCTCCGGAGTTGGCGTACCCAGACGCTCCATGTATGGTATATATGCCTACATTGGGGTGGTTTTGGGGGTCAATGTAGGCATATATGGCATACATGGAGTGTCTGGGATATGCATAACCTATCCTCTCCACATGTTGAAGAAGAGCCCATCGCAGGACAGCTGGAACCGCTTCGACTTCTTTTGTGTCATCGTCTCACTGTGACTTGGATCAAACAGCACTTCTTGTCCCCAGGGGTACTTGTAGGGACTGAGCCCTCCGTTCCTAATAATACCACCGAAACGAAGCCCCAAAAAAGGGTTTCAAAAGAGAACGGATCCGGAGCTGTACATCAGTATATGGACTGCACTCAAGTCTAGCAGCAGTAGTAGCAGCAACAGCAACAACAGCTCCAGCAGTTCAACAGGCCCCTGAAAAGGTCCGCGCTAGACACCTCTCACAATTTTTGCAGTTGACATGCCTTTATATTGAGCATCCCTGTGGTTTGAGTGTGGTTGGAGTTTAAAGGAGATTTAGAAGCGGGCCCCATGGAATTGCGATGAGTGCACCATTTTGGGAAAAGACATTTTGGAAACCAACCATATATCAGTACATCGAAGAAGCTAGACTGCTTGCTGTTCTGGGCTCTCTGATCAGTTTTATATACCAATTTTGTCAATTCCATGGTCCTTCAGTGAGAGTTCCGACAAAAAGCAAACATGTTCGTTCGCCGAGGCTTGGAATCATCCTGGAGCCCGCAGCCTCGGTACGTGTGGTGCGTTTCGCAAGTGGAAACCCTTCGGATCAGATCCAGGGTGAGGCCTCAATCCCAGACCCGACCTCCGTGGGACTGGAAGATATGAGCCGCGCAAGACCCCCCAAACCACCACCGCCACCCCAACTAATTGGCAGATATGGCAGTCCCATGGAGCGTCTGGGATATAGGGTAGTTTTCATGTGGTTGCAATGACCTTGTGATGTTTGTGCGAAAAAGAATGGACCTGCTGTTTTGATACCTATATGCTTTTGATGTTTAATTATTTTAGTCACGAACTGAGTGAATCCCCTGCCGGGAAAACGTGTTCTAAGAATTTGCTTTGCTCCTGGACAGCAATTCATGATGAAAGACCTGGTTTTTGACCAGTTGACCCTTTAGGATTCACAGGGGCCAAGCATTGCTGATACCAGATGCCCTCAAAGTCGAGTGATGAAGAACCCTGTTTGCACTGTTCAGTAGGAAACCTCTCAGCATTGGCTGGAATCTCGCCCAAATCCCTTACTGAGCTCGTTGAATGAAGGAACAATAATGGAAACACTAGCTGCAACTGAAGACATCGGACACTGAAGACACGTCACATCACGTCACCTGAAGCCACGTCGACGCACGCCGCTGGTTTTGATCTTCATCCGATCCAACGGGCTCACCTTTCCCATCCATTCCCATCCATTTTCCCCTTCCAGCAGAGGTGGGTCAGAACCCGAACTAGACTATCCTATAGGTACTCCTGTAGGGTCCTAGTTCAGGTCACTTATTAACCTTTGTAGGTTGGGCAAATGTGTTTCTGCTCGCAACGTTCAAACATTGGTCGACCCAGCTGGCACCGGTCTGACCAGACTGGCTGTTCTTCCACCCACCGGAGTCACGTTCCAGGGTCTAGATGACTAACTGAATTGGTCCAAGACTGCTCGGGTCTACTCTACCCCCAAAACTCACCAAAGAAACCCCGAACTCCCAGAACGGCTCTTCCGACACACGCGACTCGTCCGACTCACTCGTTCGCGCGGCTCCGACCTCTGCGCACGCGACTTGACCTCGCCGGCGGGCCCCGGCCCTCAGGGACACCACCACGTTAAACGTCACGGGCGTCACTTCAGTCTTTCGGGTTCTGCGACTCTTCCGATTGCCTGGGGCACCCGGTGAGACGACGGTCTCGGTGAGACGGACTCGCACCACCGGGGGGGTGCAATTGGTTCCCGAAACGGAGCGAATCGGGAGTGCCACTGCGAGGATGGTGGCATTCCTATAGAGAGGTTGAACAGACATATAGCCTATAATTAGCCTATATAGCTATATATGTACTATGCTACAAACAGGGTCCCAGTTCAGGTCTCTCAACCTCTCAACCGGTTTGTGGGAGACGGACGATCGGACCAGGTGCGTGTGTTGGAAGTCGCCAAAAGGGTGCCTACAATTTGTAAGTACATTATATGTTCTGTATATTATACACTATGTTATTTTGTAGATATGGTATGATGTTCTGTATACAATGATATAGGTTACATTATGTGGTGTGATTTTCTGTATATACTGTACTATAAGTTACCAGGATCATCCTGTCTGGGTGTCCTGGCTAGACTACCCTACCCTACGTAAATAGGCCTCCAGACAGGGCATTTTTTGCAAGTGCTAGGTATGTCATGAGTTATGTGTTAATCTCCAAGCTGGGGTACGCCAGTTGCTGGACCATCCTGGAGAATGCTCGCAGGGCGGTATTGTGTTGATACTGACCGCAGACAAGTTCCAAACCCAAAGCTGCCAAGAAGGCAGTAGGCTGGAGGTAATTTGGTTATATTTGGTTGGGTTTCACAGCAGACAAAAGTGCAGACAAACAAGGAGACAAGTTGCCCGTTGAAGAAACATGGAAATACCTGGCAAATTGATTGGACACTGATCGATTGGAATCTTCGGAGCTTCGACTTGTCAAACTGGTTTGTTCATCATCAGATCTTCATGGTTGAGACCAAATCAACCGGAGAACGTCATTCGACCCATTTGCGCTTCAAAGAATCACCAGTCCATAGGCCTCAAGCTGTTGACCCCTCCAAAACACAGACCTTCGGACTTGTTTCAACTGAAATACAACGCCGGCCCGAAGCTGCCGTAGTTGGTTTGGTTCCATGAATCCTCCACAAACCACCACAGCCAACCACAAAGTGTAAATGGAGTTTCACCAGATACGCATCGAACATATCGAACCCAATCTACAAGCTATCCCACAGATGTGCAGATGTGATGTTATCTTTAAATTCTTCACACCACATGAACAAACAAGCTCAATGTCTTTCATGTTCTTCTCGATGTCCCAGGATGAAATACCTCAAGGGTGTGAAGAAGATTTTTGTCGCACTTGCTGCGCCGGGGCCTTTGGGGCCGACGGCCTTGAGACGCAAGTCGACGCGTGGCACGCTTGATTGGCACCTGTTCAGATTGTATAAGATCATATAAGATCATATATAAGATCTATCATATTCAATCATTATGCTTTTAGTTTAGATCCCAATATATCTTAATTATCTATATATTCTATCTAATCTAGCTAGCTGTTTGTTTGGTTTGTCTGTTTGTCTGTTTGTTTGTTTGTCTGTTTGTCTGTCTGTCTGTCTGTCTCTATCTATCTATCTATCTATCTATCTATCTATCTATCTTTAGATAGATACACATGTATTTTCAAATATACACAGCATTCTGTCCCCATCCTGAGGCAGACAGAACATTCCACCAACATCCCATTTTGAATGACAATGTAACGTGATGACCACTCTCCATGTATTCCTTGATCAATCCATTTGTTCAAGCTGCCGTGCAAGTCACAAAAGAGATACACCTTGTCATGACTCCGGCAAGGTCTGTACCCAAATTGGTGAATGTCATGGCGATCTTGCTGCTCCTCTTGACCTTGTGCACATCCCAAACTCGATTGGATCTGAAACGTGAGGACCACGTCCGAACGAGCACACGACCGGACGACGAACGACGCGGACGACGCCACGCGTTGACAGGTGGCAGCTTCAATGAAACATTGACAGGTACAGCATCTTGGGAGTCAGTTTGTTCTCCACTTTGAAATTTTCTTCTGAAAGTCCGCAATGCAGCTTGGCAAGATATCCGCGGTTTCCGATCTGCGGGGCGTGGTGAAGATCCAGTAGACTACGGCGGCACTTTTGTTGGGGGGTTTGGCTTCGGAAGAGAATGTTGAGTTTTTGGTGTCTCGAAGAAACAAGTGGCAAATAGTATCACAGAATCCATTCCAACTGAATGGGCTGGGATGCCAGGGAATGTATATATATATATATATATATATTTGTGCTTCCGAATCACTGGTTTGTTGGTGGGCAACTAGATCCACCACTGGAGGAATTGCAGGACCCAGGGCCCAACCAATCGATGACACTGCAGAAGCTTCTTTGGGCTCTTGGGAGGAATTCGGCTCTTGGGAGGCAACCAACATGCAAGAAACTGGGCAGTGTCCCATTAATTACAACTAAGAGTTTACTATTTTGGCAAAATGCCTTTTCTCACCATGCTGATCCATTGGGCCTCTGGTAATATGGTCATGGGAGATGCCCAAGAAACCCCGTGTGTTGCACCATTCATCAGTTCAATCAATTCTCCAATCCCGCATGGTGACCCGGCTCACAGGTGCAGGTGCCAAAGGCCACCTTTGGAGTCATTCCTATCCCAGCCACGACTAATGGGACTGCCATATATGCCTACATTGACCGCCCAAATCACCCCAATGTAGGCCTATATGTATGGCACACATGGAGCGTCTGGTATTAATACATATTACATCATATTACGATAAAAGTGACAAGTGTTGGGAAAGGTGGTTTTCCTCTACCAGCAGTGCTCTAGTTTTGTTTTTAATTAAGAGTGCTGTTTTTCGTCTACCTGGATTGCGTGTGCTCGCATTGAACAGCAGCATCGTTTCTGATCATGTTGAGTGACGAACAGCGAGACTTTATCACTTAGTGCTTTTGGTCCTGACTCACGATCATCCGGTATTATCACTTGGCGCTTAGGCTTAAGCGAGACAAACCCAAACTCGAAGACGGGTCGGTTTATGAGATCTTCCTCCAGATGCCTGACGCTGAAATTCCGCACGTTGCCTGACGCCAAAGTCGACGGCAGGTAATTTCAAAGACTTTGTCGGGCCCTCGGCACTGGAAGCCTGCTGAAACCAGCTGAAACCACATTCACACGCATCTCTTGTGGGGCTTTTCACTGCATCCCAGAGACTCCATGGCACCTGAATCCATCCCCGTTCGAGGTGAACATCGGACAAAAAGCCAGGGTTTCGGCAGGTGGATTGGTGGCACGGAGGCTCCGACCGGATCCTCGAGGTGTAGGGACGGACTGTTCCGCACCAATGCACCCGCTTCCGCGGAAGCCAATGCACTGGAGCCCGAAAGAAGATCCGATTCGGATGGTTCTGGGAGGTTGGAATCCGAGGTTCGCTTAGCTGCATTGCTCGGTTAAGCCACTGGCCAATGTAATTCGTTGTGGTGCTTTGATCGTTGAATAGTTTGTTCATGTTTGTGTTTGTTCAATATGTTGGAACCTTCAGATATGAGTGATCCTCAGGATACTGAAGCTTGGCAGAAAAAGACCGGTCTTAAGACTCGACCCTGTGATGACGACGACGCATGGCGATAGACATCCCTTTCACCAACGGTGGTGTCTACAACTAATTATACTTTGCAGATATTGCAGATACTATAGGTCCAGCCACACCACTCGTCATCCTCGTCCTCGTCCTTGGAAGAACATGGGGGCGAACACTGGCTTTCCGCCAAACCAGGAGGTTCCATGATCGGAGTGCTTTTCAGTCCCAGATCGTGGGTGGATGTGACAGGTGCACCAGACACTCCTTTAGGAACTGATCCCAGACACACCTGGCAAGTGATTATATGCCGATCAACTGACTCCTGAAAGCACAACGATGCCGTAAATCATGGAACATGGACACCAATGACCTCGTCTCTGCGACCGTTTCTTCTCTTTGGCACCCAAAAATCATCTCGATCCGGAACCGGCCTCCGGCCTGGCCCGCCCTGGCCCGCCCGGACTGCGCCCCTCGGCCGAGGTCCAGGCGTTTATCACCCTCTTTCGGGCCTCCACGGGTGAAGCCTGGAACGTACTGGGCTGAGACAAGTTGCGGGTGGACAAGTTACCCGTCCCCCGCTCGCGTTTCGACCTCGCTCGCGGCGTTCTTCGCCCCGTGTCGGATCATCCGGTTGTAATTGATCATCTGGTTGGAGGCTGGAGGTCCTGAATGTAGACTCTTGATCAATAAATCCCCCATATGTCCAATTATGTCCAATTCATTCCAATTCAATATATGTGTTTTCTTTTTAAATCAACAGTCTACCTTAATTAAGCAGTCATATAGGGTATAGTCAACATCCTGGACACCCAGGTCCAGGATGACCCTGGTCAAAAACGTCTTTCCACCATCCTCAAGACGAGAAACGGTACGAAACGACGAGAGTCTCAGCTTCTCATGTCGACCAATGGCCAGAGTTCAGTGTTTTTTTTGGGCCTGTTAGATTCCTGGAACTTTGGGCCTTCTGGCAATCCGTGGGCACCGGGATTAGTGGCTAGAATCTGAAAATTCCGGCAAGCCACTCGAAAGATTAAACATAGGTGTCTTTCCGGACACCCGTCATGAGTTAATCACTTTCTTCCACGCGTTCCCTCGCCTTGGTTTCTGACGCGCCCAGGAAATTATGCATGACATTGCCCGACCCTGAGACAGTTTTCCACCGGCGGCGTTGAAGAATTGGAGTGGTTCCCGCAAATTTTGCCGTCGATTGTTTGATTCAGACACGTCTGGAACGAATGAGGCGCGATCTCCGAAAGAGATCTTTGCATCAGGCGACTGGTGCACGTGAGGAAGCCTGGAAGATGGGTAATGATGCTGGGTGTTGACTTGACCTGGGAGGGCTTGGGAGGTAGTGGCCTGGAAGTCCTTATGGATGTCCAATGTTTCAATGCCACGGATCTGACAGGTGCTTCCTTTAAATGAAGCCTTGGTAAATTGACTGTAGCAGGTATAGCCGGTTACTCGGTTGTCACATGAGGCAACATGCACGATAGGGGCCAGATGGGCTGCTCTGTTTGCACTAGCGGCTATAGTTGTCCTTTGCCTTGTGCTGCCAGATGATGAGTGTAGAGAAGGGATACCCCCAGCTTGACCCCCTGGTAAAAGATATAAAAGGAACTTGGACATGCCAAAACCGGTTGTAGAATGTTGTGGATGCTTGCGGTATCCTTGTTCGTCCCCAGGTTTCCTCACCCAGACCATCCATGGAACTGGAATCATTACATAATGATATATATATATAATATTGTTATTAGTTACCTACAATATATATATACATAATATAGGCCCATCAATGGGTGAATTTTACATGTATATATGCATGTAGATACAGTAACAATTCCATGCATGGATCCGTTTATCGGGTTACTATATGTTATACCCCAAGTTGTTGCGTCATTATGTTAATAAGTTTGTTTCTATACATTTTATTTAGTTATTTGTGCACACATGGTTTGGGTCAGTTCTTGGAATCCGAGTCACGGCGTTCACCCGGTGTTTTGCCCTGAAAGGCACAGCAGCCTTCACACCGGCAGCCGTTGAGGCCCGATTATCTCTTTGACACTGAGAATCAGTTTGAGGCCTTGAGAGACGCGCGGCTGGAGGGATCCATCGGAACCTGGACGGAAGGCGGAAGGCGGCGATGGCGGCGGGCGCCGTTCGTTGAGATGGTGCGAGAGTTCGAGAGGAGAGTTCGCTGGAAGTATCCACATGAGGTGGAAGACTCCCGGATCGCTTCTTTTTAATGTTCTCTCATTGTCACTGATGAGTCGTGATGAGTTCTATTGTCTACCTGGGACATCCCCACTGGGTGTCCAATGTCCACTGCTAGACTCTTGGCCCGGACCCAGCCAGAAGACGTTACAGGCATGGAGTTAGGTGCCGGTTCCGAACGGAGCAAGGAGGGACCCGACCGATGATCCACCTCCACGGGCCCTGGATGGGACGAGCCAAACCACCCAGGCCCTCCATGTGACTCCCGGTGAGCCGGTGAGCCGATCGTTTGGCCATTTGCCATCCATGGCCTTCATCTTCGTACCTGGTGGGGCTCCACCCAAGGAGATTATATACATCATCTATACTCGAAGTGTTGATTTACTGTAATGCAAAGTCATAACTGCTTTGGACAGGTGCCAAGTTGGAAGCCACGGCCAAGCGACCCTGCATCCTTGAACGGACAGTCGCCCCTGCTTCTCCTCAAACCTTCCGCGGAACCAGCTCCCGTGCAAGGCTCTCTCCGAGAAATGCTTAATTGAGAGGCCCGGACGCACGGTGATACGCTGTGCCGTGGGCGGAGTACCGCTGTGGGCGAAGTGGCGTGACGGCCGCTGTGTATCAGGTGGAAGACGGTGTGACGGTGTCACCCAGACACTCCGTGTATGGTAATAGTTGGTATACAGAAAGGGACGCCCTGGAGGCCTCAATTTTTCCACGTGTTCAAAAACGCACATGTTCAGGTGTTTTTGGACAGATGTGAAACATATGTTTTAGAGAATCGACTGTATACCTTTTTGCATCTATACAAAGATTTACTTTAAACACGTGTATTCAAGAATACTTTTTGAAAGGGAGGGGGGTCGCCCCATGTTTTTTTGGCGACCCCACCCCTCCAAGCAGGCCACATGTACTTGGCAAAGTAAATTGAATCTACTAAGTCTATCTAAGTACCAGGACCCTCCAAGGGGTGTACCTCACAGTACATTCCATTGGGCACCCCTTGGAGGGTCCTGGTATAATAATTCGAACTATCTATATAATTCACCCCCCACCCTTGGGGGGATCTTCAACGGATGGTTCATGTTGATTGACGCCTCTACAGGCCACATGTACTTTGTGTCCAGGAAATGCTAGACTGCGGATAAAACAACACTCTTGTGGTGGGGACATCGAGGCAGTCCACTGGATGGATGTCATGCAGGTGGTCCGCAACTGTGACCAGTGAGTGTGTGTTAGCTTTTCAAGGCAGTTAGACGGTGTGTTGGGTAGTGCTCGCAGTATTTGTGCTGGCAGGGTTTATAGGGTCAAATCCTTGTGAGAGTGCTTGGCCTGCTGCTTGACATTTGTCCATCCATCGATGTAGGAGAGTTCTCCTATGATGCGATGGCCTCTCAGACACCCAAACGACTCAAGGCAAAGTTATGCCAAATGAGTTCCCCAGAAGCATTCGCTTACAATTGGAGCATTCATCTACAATCGGGCTTCCAGGGAAGCCAGGGAGTCAAGCAGGTAAAATTGGATCGTTGACAACCTCCGTGCGAAGGGCCACTCGAAGACAGGCCCTTGTTCGCATCTCAATGTGCCTTGGATTGAGAACAGGCTCAGGAGTGTGAACTCGAGTATATGCGAACAAGTCTTTGCATGGTTCCGGGGCTACGCCATGATTTCAACAACATGTCGTCCTCAAATCTCTGCTTCTATTCCGCCAGGCGGCACAATGAAATGATTCGGGCAGGCGACAAGGCTCATTTGAACCCATTTTCTGCCCACAAGCAGGCCAAGAAGAAAGCTGGTACCGTCAAGCGGCCAGCTAGCACCAAGTACTCTTGCCGCTAGGCCGCTAGGCTTATACCAAAAGTACTCCTACAATTTGCCTATACTCCCTTTGTTGTCAGCTGTTGCTTCATCCGCAAAGTGATCCTTCAATTGATCACATCAACTGCGGCAGCCGTATCCAGGCGGCAACTTGCTGAGTATTAGATACAACAACTTTTTGTTGTTAGCATTTTATGTCCTATCCGGGAGTCACTCATCTACACTGACATAGAGATGCCGATCGTGTCGCAGGTGGTCGTGAGAAAAGAACATTGCCACGTTCTGGCTTTGTCCACATACACATATAAGTCTGCAAACTTCTGCAACTCAATGAATGGCACACTTGAAAAGATGCTTATTCTTTCAGCATGCATAGTTATTTTGCTGCTCTATTTACATAGTTTTTATTTCAACTTTGTATATAGCAAATAAATCAGAGTCGATGCGCTTGGGTTCAGAGTCACTTTGAAAAACAGCTTCGGTTGCAGAGACTTTCAGGTTGCTGTGCTTAGAGGTTGTCCTGCTTGTTGCCCGTTAGAAACAAAACACACGTAGTCAAAATGACACAGAGCCTAGAAAAGGTAAGTTGGCCGTGCCACTCAATGATCAATGCAGTCCGTTGACCCCATCTTTTGGAACAGCTGGTGCTTTCCAGAGATATGCAGCCTGTCTTGCCACTGGCCGCTGGTCCTGCCGTCAGCAGTAGGTGACCAATCATGGAAACATGAACATGAACAAAGACATGAACTTGAATTGAAACACCACAAGCAATAGTACCTGCAATAATCCAGCTATTCTTGTCCAATGGCGCGGCTATTCTTGTCCTGAAGAATTACAATTAATAACCTGTTGATTCAACACACACACACTCACAGGGGTATAGGAAAAACAACTTTTGGACTGCGCAGTTGTTCTGTTCATTCTCTGTGGTCACCAAGCTCCCCCACACATTTTGACCCATCACCAAATCTTTCTCCGTTGGCTTCTGAAGCCTCCACCGCGTCATCAACATCCTGACCCAGTTTCACCACCATCAAACTGACGACTCAGACGATTCAGGTGGCCCAAACAACCGTAGGCGAGTCACCTTTCAGCCTGAGCCCATGAATGTGAGGGAAAGTCCCAGCAACAAGTCCGGTTGTCAGATTCAGCTCAAGTTGGGATGTCCTTCATATTTTCGAATCTGCGGGTTAAATTTCTATAGATCTTTGACCAGGTTTCGAGAATCAAGAATCGAGGCAATGACGCCAATCCTGCGCGCGGTCGTGAAAAAAGAAAACACTGCCTCACATTCAGGCTTTGTACATCTTTGTACACACACACACGTACACACATATCTGCAGGCAAACTTCTGCAAGGTTTCCCTCAATCAATGGCACACTTGAAGATGTTTTTTTCAGCATGCATATTTATTTTGTTGTTCTATTTATATATTCAATCATTTAAGGTAGGCAGGGTCGGTGATGATGAATTATTTGGGAAGCTTCGAATCAATGTCTCCCAATGTTTGAATGCTCAAGCCAAACTGGGGAGACGCCCCTTGAGGAGCAGTGTCGCTGCTGGTACCTCAAGCTAAACTTTTTCTTCCCGGTTCGGACGCCATGGCAAGCGCTGACGAGCAGATCCGCCGCTCTGCTGAACAGCAGAAGCTGGAGCGGTGGTGCGCTGCCCATGGTATCGAAAGGCCCTCCGACCTAGCGTTTTACTTCGTTACCTACGAAGAAGCGCTGAAGCAGGGCCGCGCGGTGGCGGATGCCTGGGACCAGGCGCGCCGTGAAGCGGAGCTGGGCGCTGGCCCTGGTGCGAGACATCGTTCGTCGTGAACAAGTTTCGCAATCAGCGCCGCGGCCTACCACATCGCCACCGTTGAGGCCACGACCTACCCCATCGTTTGCGGGGCCGGTCAGGCCCAGCACCCAGGGCCGTCAGTCGGGCGGCCCTGACGGCGGTGCCTTGACTTTTCTGCCTCAGTTGATGGCCATTCTTCTGGCAGTAGAGCCCCCGCCGGCGGCTCGCTTGGCTGAGATCACCGCCAACTTCGAGGCCAAGCTCACGCATGTGCTCCAGAAGGCGGAGGCCGCCACGGTGAAGCGGGCATTGCACACGTGGCAAGAGCTTCAAGGGGTCATTGCGGCCGCAGGTGGAGGTATCCCGGACAAACACCTCCTGGCCACCTTCATTCGGGAGCACAAGTCCCCTACAAGGGCATATACCGCTCTAGGATGGATCGTCCGCAACCTCAAGTTGCCATTTGACCTCTCCGAAGTGGTGAAACCTCGGGCTGGTTTGGGATCTCGCCTCGGTCAGGGGCAGGCGCAGGCGGCGACTTTGGAGCCATCTATGGTCATCCACCTGTTGGGCACCTTGGAATCCACCGTTGACAATCCTCACTGGCCCATGGTGTTTTGTGCCTACGCCCTATGTTTTGGTGTGGTCAGGTACGCCCATTTGCAACGGAGCTACTTGGTCGGCGGTAACGGGGGCATCCTCGTGTTCTGGTGCACGAAAGGTAAGACTGGCAGTCGTGGTGGCTTTGCCTGGAGCGTTCCGAGGTATTGTGGCACGTTGGACCTTCTACAAGTGCTAGGTGCCCATTTGAACAAAGTGCGCCCCAGAACCGGCGCCGGCTTCAGGCGCTGGCATTGGTTGGGGTTCGACTCGGCTACAGCCCAGCCGGTGGGTACAGCACAATGTGTCCGGATCCTGCGGCCCTACCTGAGTGCAGCTATGGACGTTACCAGCCTCTCGTCCTACTCGTTCCGCCGCGTGCTTCCGACTTTGGCAGGGTATGTGGGGCTATCAGAGACAGAGCGACTTGCTCTTGGACAATGGGTGGATCAGTCCTCCAAGTCTACGGCTACCACCCCTCTGCGATATGACTCGCGGAAACAACGCCTGGGACACCAGTTACGCTTGGCTGGCCTGCACTTCTTCCAGGACCTCAACATGGCTTTGTGGGACGAACTGCCGACCGGCTATGCCTCTGCCCGATGGTCCACTTGCATGGAGGAGGCTGACGAGCTCCTCGCTTCGGACCCCCAGATCCGCCGAGTTTCTACGGACTCCATCCCTGGCATGCCCGTGGTCAAGACCTTGCTGCCGGCCCAGGTCCAGATCATTCGCGCTACTGGTCAACGCCTCACTGCTGCGCTCCGGCGGAAGCGCCCGGCCCCAGCCGTGGCTGCCGGCCCGGTGCCTGAGCCCACACAGGGGCCGAGGAACACGGTGTCAACATTTTCGTTCACCAGTCCCTCGCGGCCGGCGAAGCTGGCACGGGTGGAGCCGCCACCCAGGGCTGCTGCCGGCGGTAGTGCCCAACCGGTGACGCCGCCCAAAGCACCTCCGCCGAAGGTGCCACCTGTGCTGCCTGTGGTTTCGCCCTCATCAGCTTCGGCATCTATTCCATCTTTGCGGGCACCACCACCTTTGCCATCGACTTCACCTCGGGCATCTTCGTCTTCAACCGCGGCAGTTCCTTCGAGCACGCCACCTTCGACCCCCAAAGTCAAGGCCATGCCCTCAGTGCTGCAACCGTCGCCAGAGCGGCCTCAGCACCTGCAGGAGGCGAATGATGCCGCCTTCGATGCAGCGGCACGGGAACGCTGGCGCCGGCCCGGGCACAGCGGTGCCCCAGAGCCTCCCACGCTCATCTTCCTGGGCGAAGCAGGCAATGGTTCTATCTACTTGGGCGGTCTGCCCACGGACCGGGCCTGGTTGGAGGCCCACCACATCGGCATGAGCCTCAGCGCTATGGACAAGATTGCCGCCGACTGTCGGGGAGGGGTCAGTGCTCGCCAGGTCTACCAAGTCAATGTTCCTGTGGGTCATCAAGGAGCCCTACGTGACCGCCAGTTGAAGTTGGTGCTGCCTATCTTTCTGGCAACCCTATATTCAGGCTACTCCGTTCTGGTTCATTGCATGGCGGGGGTGCACAGGGCCCCTGTGTTGGCTGGTTTGCTACTTGCATGGATCCGGCGGTGCTCCTTCGAGGAAGCATATTCGCGACTGGAGGGCTTGCGGGCTATCGACCGAGCCGGTGTGCTCAGCCGGCGGGGCGGCTCTGATATCTTCAAATGGGCCCGGAACCAGGTCCACATCACACCACCGGCCCTGCCGAGGTATCCGATTTCCTTCATTACCTCTACCAAAGCAGGATCACACTGGCATGTGGAGCGTGACAACGCGCCCTGGTGCAGATGGCGCCAGCGCAATGCTGCTTATCGAGGCGAAGTCCACCGAGCTCGCAGCATTCATGAGGCCTTGGCCTATGGGCGTGATTTCTGTATCACATGTAAAGCCGTGCTCCCTGGCAATGCCCAGGTCCACTTGTACTAATAACTGCAGTCTTCGGAAACAGCACGCCTGCCGGGTAGGCCGAGAGGGCGTCTCGTGTGCTATGCAAGTTTTTGCCTCATGGGGACTCGGCGGACGGCCCGAGGAGTAGGTCCCTCGTCTGAACATCGATCGAATTTTTATAGTCAGTTCTTGCATGTTTGCTGCAGCGTCTCGTATCCCAGTCAACTCCGGCCTCCACGACCATACCCTGCGCCAATGGACCGGCCTCAGGCGATCCAGTTCGTTGCCGTGACACTGACGCCCTTGGAGGGCGAGGCCAGACGGGCCCGTGCTTGGGAGGTAGGGGATCAAATGGACCAGGCCTGTCGGGCCTTGAGGGCCCTTCCCCCGACCTCCACCTCTTGTCTAGGGGTGGTACAGGTTCAGCTGCGCGCTGCACGGAACCTATGTGAATCATGGATCGAATGGTGGGATGAGATCCAAGACCTGCCCAGGGAGGCAGCACGCCCAGAGCCTAGGCTGGACGGGCTGTTGTGGCCGGCGGCCCCGAGACCTGGTACTTTGCCTCCCTACGCCCCACTGGTCCACACTACATGTGATGATTTGGCGCGTCACCATGACAGTCTCCATGAGGCCGATCGCGCTTCGTTCCGTCAATTGCTCTATACTGCCCACTACGAGGCCCACGCGGCAGGCGAGGCCATCAGTTGGCCAGCGCTACAATG